TATACAACAATGAACACCATCAATGAATTTAACGTTACCTTCCACAGGATGAATACACAACACTTTCAAATGTAGACACTTCAAGGTTTACAACCACTCAGCATACGATGTTTGGGCATGGAAAGATGTGAATCTAAACATATGGCAAGGTTGTCACGGAACCCACTGTAAATACTGGCGCTGTGTGGTCTCAAGGCATGGTGTCCGCCTCAAATGCTAGAGGTACCGGGTTCAATCCCCGGTAAGGGCTTGGATTTGTTTTTATGTAGACTTGGACTTCTAGTAATTCCCCCTGGTCTCTGGTTAGTGAGACCAGGAACTAGAAATCCAAGTGTGCCCGTATGCATTATTGGGCATGTAAAAAATCCCTTGGCTGTTGGAAATTGAGAAGAGTAGCCTAACGACGCTGCCTGGGCAAAATTTTTAGTTAAAAATCTACCCAAAGTATTTCAGGATCCTCGCCGATGCTACAGAGCCTGTACACTGTGTTGAGCTTCTCTGGACGCATACTCAAGTTAAAAGAAAAATATAGCACTTATGGGTTACTACCCATGTGCCATGATGTTGATCCGTTGTTCAAACTTCCATTGTAAATGCTTAATCGGACATTCACCTGCTTGTAGATTCATTCGAGTTTCATTTTTCCAGCCCTGTCAGACACACTGTCCCAGGATCAAAAACAAGACTGGATCTTCCCGATCATTCCAAATTTTAATAATTTGTTTCTGTCTCAAGTTCTCAAACATTCTATATGTAATTCATGCTTTCGCTCAACCATCACACTTTCAGCCAAGTTCCCCGCTTGGCTTGAGTTTTTCATACATTATACTTCACACTTGATCCCATTCAACCTAATTCAAGCACAAAAATTATGTTTAGTGTTTTACCTCATTTCCAGATGTGAACATTAATTAACAAGGATAAAATGACTTATATAACAATACTGTTTACTTGTAACTCTTCTTGTTTAGAAATAAACATGTATTTGTTTTTTTTTTTAATTTACCCCCTCTGGTCTTGGTTTGCTCACTTGGAGTTTTTCTCAATGACATTTAAACCAAAACAACAACAAAACTGCCTTATTACTGGCCATATTTACCAATTTCACTGTGTAGGCATTGGCGGGGAGAAAGAAGGGGGGGGGGGGGTGATAACTGATCCTGAGGATTTAGGGCCACATGGCCAGTGCTGTTGACACAAATTGTGCAGGTTAGCATTTTATTTTTGCCCCTACCAGAAAAAAGAATCCACATTCTAACGCAGGGTTGGAACCCAGGTTGCCTGCATGAGAGCCCAATGTTCTAACACATTCAGCTAACCACTCATCATTCTGTGTCATGTCTTTCATATTCTCTGACTTAATGTAAGGTATGCAATCACACATCCTGTGTTAATTGGCACACATGATAGCTGCCAGATGTACTCATCTTATAGAAAAATAAATAAAAGTGCCAGATTTCTTTAGTGTGTTCTAACTAAACATTAGAAATACAATTACACATGATTCATGATACCTCTTTTTTGGGGTTGTCTTTCTCACTTTGACAAAAAGTTTAATCTGGGTGACTCAATTGATTTATCACAGTAAAAAATTTGTATGTTTCCAGGTTTAGGGGTGGACGTTGTCGAGGAGGAGGAAATCAACACCAGCAGCAGCGTCACCCAGAACCGTAAGTGGCTAAATATAATAATAATAATAATAATCCTTTATCCTCTTATTCTTCTCCTCGTCATCGTCTTCTTCTTCTTCTTCTTCTTCTTCTTCTTCTTCTTCTTCTTCTTCTTCTTCTTCTTCTTCTTCTTCTTCTTCTTCTTCTTCTTCTTCTTCATCTTCTTCTTCTTCTTCTTCTTCTTCTCCTCGTCATCATCATTGTCTTCTTCTTCTTCTTCTCCTCGTCATCATCATTGTCTTCTTCTTCTTCTTCTCCTCGTCATCATCATTGTCTTCTTCTTCTTCTTCTCCTCGTCATCATCATTGTCTTCTTCTTCTTCTTCTCCTCGTCATCATCATTGTCTTCTTCTTCTTCTTCTCCTCCTCCTTCTTCTTCTGCTTCTCCTCCTCCTCCTCCTCTTCCTCTTCCTCCTCAAGAGACTCACAAACACTGGGCAGTTTTTCCCAAACTTTTCTTAGTTGCAGTACATTTTTTTTTCAATTAAAAGTTTTCCATGGCACCCTAACCTAAGTAAAAGTATGACTATTCTTATATAAGAGATATAAAAAATATAACTCGTGTATCTTCGAATATTTCGCGGCGCACAGTTAGGTAATCACTGCTCTAAAGACATCCTGTCAGCTGAATTACAAATGGGTAAAAGATGTCGACGTCAGCCTCTGCTGTGAAATAAATATTTATGCAATTGGGTCATGAATGGCACAAGTATTGAGGTGGGTTTATGGGAATAGAATACTACAGACCATGTTGCATGTTTACTCAAGCCTGATATATAGATGGTTGCAACCTGATCAAAAGTCTGCCTGTGTTTTCACTTCAATGTTACA